GGGGGGGGGGCGTCGGTGCCGGTGCGTTGCGCAAGGCCGGTGTTGAGAAAGGCGCCGTTACCTAACGTGGGGTGGGGGGCCTCGGCCGTTCTCGGTGGGCTCCGCCGCAGGCTGCGGCCAAGGGCAGCCCGGACACAGCGCCCGTGGCTGTCCCCGGGATCTGCTGTCCGGGTTCCGCTGGGAAGCGTCGAGCCACCCCCATGTCCTCTGGGCTGAGGTCTGGGGGGCGGCCCGCGCGTTCCCGGCTGCTGGGCGAGTAACGTCCCTCCTGTGGCGACAGCCCGAGTGGCTCTCGGTCCACCGGGTCCCCAGGGAGCCGGAGCAGGCAGCGCCCCGCAGGTGAATTGGCCGGTTAATGCTGCTCCTGCCGAGCCTTCGCACCTCGTAGGGCCGATCCCGCCCATTTGCCAGACCCTCCAGTGATATTTTTTTTTTTTCCCCTCTTCTGACCTACAGTGTGCGCAAACCCCCAGCGCCATGAGCTGGTATTACTAAGTGCCAGACTCGACAAGATAAGCTCAGCGGGGCTAACGAAGTATTTTCCAATAACCAATGCCGATTTTGTCTTTATTCTTTTCAAATGATGGAAAAAAAAGCAGTTATGGAGCAAAGAAATTAATTCAAGAGTGCTTTTGTTTTCCTTATCTCAGAGAAGGAGCCAGCGTGCAACTTTCCAAGGGAGGCAGGTGGCATTGAATTTTAAAGCTGCTTGTCTCGAAGCTGTCACTGCCCGAGCGCCTGCACAGGCATGCAACTTTCTTGGTACATTAGAGCTGAAAAATCCCTCCCCTGAACGTCTCTGGGTTGCATAGAGCAACACTCGAATCCTGTTCTGCCCTCACCAAGGCTTGCGGTAATCTGTCTGCTGCTTACCTAATCCTATAGGTGATGAATAAACAATCCTAAATGGCAGCTGCCAAATGCCTTGTATTAGGAAACTTAAGATGAGGAGTGCACAGGGGTAGCAACACCTTAAGACATGAGCCTTGTGATGCTCTGTGTGTATTTATATATTTGCACTAACTCTAGATAATGTACATCTGTTAAATGCTTCAAATTGCTTGATTTCAAGTGTCGGGCTGTGTGGAACATTACAGAGAAACTGTCTCTTGCCTTTAACAGTCTGATATGAGAGGCAAGCAGCACACCATGACGGATTCGGAGGACTGATGCAGCTTTATCAAGCATTGCATTAAGAGAGTTGGAAACACTAAGTGACCAGATTACTTTAGCCTTGTCAGATTTGTGTAGCTGTGAGTAGCAACAAACCTCACTAAAGCCCCGCATGTGCCGAAACTGCATGAATTTAAAACAGTACCCTGGTTTCAAAAAAGCATAATGGGGGGGAAAAAAAAAATAAATCCTTCTACGGGTGGCAGTAAGGAGGCTGAGCACTGCCCACTGCAAAGTTTGAACAAGCTACTTGAAACAGTTTTGCAGTTGATCGATCTCTGGCTGCCTGTTGTCACTCGTGGATCCTTCTTACAGTCCAAACAAGGCTACAGTCAACATCTGACACCCTCCCTGTCCACGTTAAACACTGATCCTGGTTAAGGTGCCGTTGTTGCTAATACCAGTTCCCAGTTTTGTCACTAGACAAACATGTTGGTAAGGTGCCATGTAGGAAAGGATGATGGTTTAAATGGCTCTTGAAGCAAGTGGTGGCCTCTTTAGTATCTGTACTAGGTTTGCTTTTTAATTAAGCTAGACAAGAACACTCCCTTTTGCCTGGCTTGCTTTGTGCTCGCACTGAGGAAAAGTTGCACAATGGTCATAGATCCTGCACCGAAAGCTCGTACTGCACAGCTAAAACACAGGCTGCTAACTGCTTTCTGACAGAACTAAAGGTGAAGAAAACTGGGTGACAGACTTAATGAGATCAATTTATGCATGTTGTCAGAGACCCGTAAGTCTTCAAATGCTGCAGGGCTGCAAAGGAATAAATCCTGTCAAAATACACTTCTCTAAAATTCTGCATATGCTTCAGAACTGAGTTTCATTGGTGTACTGCTATTTTTTTAAATTAAATTGGGCTTTAAAATTAAAGTGTGTTTTGAAGGACCTGGTTGTATAGAATGGAGTTGCTCCAGGATCACAATCATTGCCTAGAAGGGAGCTATGGAAAACAAGTATTTCTTCTATTTTCTTCTATGATTGAAAAAACAAAGTTGCAGTCTCTAACTTGGGTTTTCATCCCTGTGTAAAAACGCTGAAGTAAATGAGCTGGTAATAAATATTTTGTTATTTTGGACATTTAGCTGGGTTAACAAGGGAGCTTGCAAGCAGCAATCACTGAAGGGCCTGCAGAGGCTCTCCCCCCTTTGCTGAGTCAGGCTCTGCCTGCCAGGCAGTTCAGCTGTTATTAGGACCAGACAAAGCATGGTCCCAGCCTACTCTGGTAAACAACTGGTATCACCTGAAATAGGTGTAGTCCAGGGTTTAAGGTAAGCCAAAGAGTCAAATATCTCCTGTCCTTACAGGAAGCCTGGTAGAACAAGGAAATTGCAAGAACCAGTTACTAAGAAATGGTCTGCAGTTATCTGAAAAAGTTTTAAAATGCAGTAAGAAAAGTTGCTAGAGCCTAACAGATGAGTCGTTCTGCAGTTCTGGTTCTAACAGTTGTAGACAAACACAAACCCAAATGCCTGACTGCTAGAAGGGAAGAAAGATCCCCTTGTCTTTACCTCCCCCCTGTGATTCCTAGAACTCAGCTACGCTAGTGAATATGATATGGACACATGGAAGAAGTTGAATATTAGTCCCACTTCTCTTCATCTGTCATTTGTACAAGTTTATTTCTTTTGGGCAATGTCTATAGTAGTGACTAAACTTCGCTGCATCTTATTACTGTAGCTCTGTTAACCTTGTTCTGGTACTTCTGGCCAGCTTTCAGGCAAGTGCTATTTAAACATTGTGCACTAGTCTGCTCTGTCGTGAACGCCACTATCCTACAGCCATAAGTGTTTACATTCTTGTTTATTTGAGCAAAATGATTTTAATTGCTCAGGCTTGCTGATTGTTTTAAACAGGCTATTTTTATTTCCTTAGCAATTGATGAGTACAAGCCCCTGGATGCCACCACAAACCCATCTCTGATACTAGCTGCTGCTCAGATGCCAGCTTACCAGGAACTTGTGGATGATGCTGTTGCCTACGGGAAGAAACTTGGTGGGTAAGTAAAGAGGGGTTTTTTTTTAAATCTCAGTAGATCTATATTTAAGATGCCTTGTTTATACAAATAGTGTTTAGCACTACTAGCAATGTACTGGGGTTTTCTCCTTTTGTACTCATGGGTGTATCACCTGCCACAGAAAGCCTCAACCCATTAAGAAAAATTTCTTACACCCATTTCAGATGTGCTTTGAAGAAGCACATCTCCATTTACCAGTCCACACGTGGCCTTCTGGGACTGCTCAGGAAAACACTCTTGAGTTGACAGCATTACATGAAGTGGGGACCAAAGGCTAATACTGCAGGTGGTACAGAGAGAACAGAACATAATCATGGAGCAGAGCAGAACTGGCTATTTGAACTCTGGAATTTAATGTTAAATGGGCTGTGAAATTTGATCTTCAAATACATGGCAAGGTGTGAATGCACTTTCTTCCCCCCCCCCTTAGAAATTATTTTGCTCTTTGTGGTTTTCAGGTCAGAAGAGGAGCAGATCAAAAATGCTTGTGACAAACTCTTTGTATTATTTGGAGCTGAAATATTGAAGAGGATACCTGGCCGTGTGTCCACAGAAGTAGATGCAAGGTTGGCTCTTTTTCCTCTGGGTTACCCTGGATATTTGTACATATAAAAAGAGACATGATGTGAGTTGGAGAAAGATGTTCTTGACTAGACAGCTCACTGTTATAAGACTAGCAAGCATTTACATCGTTAATATTTAATTGGAGCATGGATTTCCTTTAGTTTGCTTGATTCTAACTCTGTGACAAAACTTTATGAAAACAAGTAATGCTGTGCTTGAACTTTCGTAATCTTCCTGTTGTTAAGCAAGGGAAACCTCATGCTTCCAGTATACTTAGTTTTGCTTGTTCTCTTCTGTGTGATAACATTATCTCAATTTACCAAGAGATCTGTTTTAACAGTTTATTTCAAGACTTGCATAGGACTGTTCTGTTAACCGACTCATGGCCAGTTCAAATGCTCAGCTTTTGCATTCATTATGAAAAACTTGAGGAAAACTTTATAACGTTCTCAAGGAAAGCTATCTGGAGCTCTGATCCTCTGAATCCGAGAGTAGCAGTGCTGTCAAACACCTGCCTGATGGGCTCACAATCCAGGAAGTATCTCAGAACAAAAACTTGCTACTGGCATATAAATGCTGATAAAAAAGACAGTGTTTTTCAATGGGGTTGGTGGGGGGGGAGCATTGGAAGAAAAAAAAAGTCAGTTTTAAGCAGTCCTGCTCTTGTTTCAAAGGTTGTCCTTCGATAAGGAAGGAATGATTCAAAGGGCCAGGCGACTCATTGACCTTTATAAGGAAGCAGGAATTGGTAAAGATCGTATTCTCATAAAGCTCTCTTCAACATGGGAAGGAATCCAGGCTGGCAAGTAAGTGTTTCTGTACCTGGTATGCTGATTCATAGCATGCTTCTGTCTGTTCACAGGCACCTGCATTCTGCACTTAAAGAATTGTTCTGAAAGTGCTGCACCAGGAAATCTGTTACTAGGGCTATAGCTAGCAAGCAAGGTGCTCTGCTACAGTGTCCTGTTGAAATAGGAGAACTTTGTTCATACAAAGGCCAGGCCACAAAGAGGGTTTCCTGAAATACCATGATAAATTGTCTGCGTTTGGTTCAAGGAGCGGCATTAAATAAAGCAGAGTCCGGCAATGCAAAAAAAATTTGCTGTTAGCTTAAAACTTTAAAGCCTATAAACTGTACTGTGTGTCTAATTTAAGCCAAGAAATTCAGTAGTTTTAACCTACCAGCTTGTTACTAGCATATAAATCCAGTAGGTGAGCAAAATGCCGTTTTAAACTAGCCTATGTCTGCAGGGTGCTGGAAGCAGAGTATGGGATTCACTGCAACATGACCTTGCTGTTCTCCTTTGCTCAGGCAGTTGCCTGTGCTGAAGCTGGAGTTACTCTGATTTCCCCATTCGTAGGACGTATCCTGGATTGGTATGTTGCAAATGGAGATAAAAAGACCTATGAGCCTTCAGAGGATCCAGGTAAGCTTTCCTTTTAGGATATATTTTAACAATACAGTAGCTACTCATTCAAACTGCAGTTCACTCATATAAATCCTCTTACGAAAAACCATTGGTTTTGAGCTTGTTCTAAATAAATAATCATTTGTACTCCAAATGAATTCATCTGAAAGTTGCTGATCTCTCCTTTTCAGGAGTGAAGAGTGTCACTAAAATCTATAACTACTACAAAAAGTTTGGCTACAAAACTATTGTGATGGGTGCTTCGTTTCGAAATACTGGAGAAATAAGAGCGCTTACAGGCTGTGACTATCTCACTATTTCACCCAAGCTTTTGGCAGAGCTCAGCAAAGAGTATGTCAAGTTAACTCCCAGACTCAGTGTAAAAGAGGGTAAGTCTACGTAACACGGGCTTGCTCTGCCTCCCTTTCTTCTTGAATGTTAAAGAGTACGCGGTTCCAGTCAGCTCTGTGGTGCTTGTTTCCACTCTGCTTTAAGGAGAAGTCTTGACCCCTCTCTAAAGACAGTACCACAGCCTCGTTACTGCAGTGCTGCTACAGTTGGTGACACATACAGTTGCTTCTTTAGGGTGTTGGGTCCCACTGGGTACACTAACTGGAAGTACCGTGGGGTTTGAGTGTGCTTAAACACTGGGCACCCTCTACTGGGAGGACAGGGAGAGCAGAAGGAAGTTCATACTTAAGTAAAATTTCATCCCAAGCATATGAATATTAGCAAAGATGCCAAACATGGTTTAATCTTATGTTAATATTGTATCAGTGACACAGTTAGCTCTGGACATGCCAAATGTGTGTTTCCCTCCAGAAACTAATCATATGCAAGACAAAGTGATTTGATCTAGTGATACTGTGCCACGATGGTTTTAAATGTATGCTCCCATTGCACTATTCTTGCTTTGCTGTAGCCTTATTAAAATTCTACTTTGCAACTCGGAAGATGAATTTGTGCCCAGCTGTAGCCATGGCTTGCTGCTTACAGGGTGCTAGCTGCCTTGTAGGCACGTTATCAATTGAGCTTTTGTTAGGTACTGCCAGATAATCAAAGGCCTAATTGTTCAGCATATTTGCTTAGAATGTCTCACTGCAGTAGGACTGTTGCATAATTCTTCATAATAAGCCTGAAAGTACCGTACCATTCAGAAGCAGAGACAAGATAATGGCATACACATAAACATTGTATTTTAAGAGAAACTGATTATCTAGGCTACCTTTTTTCTTTTTTTTCCTCCAAAACTAGATCAGGAACATTTTCAGTCTTGCATCCCAAAGTGTGCTCCTGTAGCAAGTCATGTTGAAAGAGGTGTTTGAAATTTTTCAACAGCTGGAGATAGTTAGAATCTTGAGAATGTTTTAGGAAGCCTGTGGCATTTGATAATAATCTGATAATACAGTTTGTCTCTTTTTCAATTCCCCTTGCACAGCCCAGGCATGCGACCTTGAGAAGATCCACCTGGATGAGAAGGCATTCCGCTGGCACCACAATGAAGACCAAATGGCTGTGGAGAAATTATCTGATGGGATCAGAAAATTTGCTGCAGATGCAATTAAACTGGAGAGGATGTTAAAGGTAGATGTTACATCATGCTGCCTCTTGTCACCTCTCACATTCCTCCAAGTACTGCAGCAAACCCGCAGTTCCTTGTGGTAGGGCTGAGGGTTAGGAACTCATAAGCAGATCTGATCAGGTTTTTATACAGGTGGTACATGTTAGTAGGACAGGCAGCTAGAAAATTGGCCACTTAATTAAGTGAACTTTGTAAACTTCACTGAATCTCAAGAAGGAATTCATGCTGGGTGTATACAGCCACACCTGCTGTTTGAGGCTCAAGGCAGTGTTGAGACTGGCAGCTCATCAAGATAACACTACTGTCAAAGCAAAAAGTCCCTTAAATCTAATTCTAATCTCACTGGTTGTGAGCAGTGGTACAAGACACGTAAAAAACCTTCAAACAGCAAGCTGGAAATAAATCATGCTTGTACTTGGCACTAGGAGGCACCAAGAACAGATACGGTGAGTACAGCCAGGCCACATGAAAGCCTTCTGTCATTTATGGAGTCTTTCAAATGGGTTTAATTGAATTGTGTGTGGTTTGGGGGGAAAAAAGACACACCAAGTATACCTGATTTAGGCACTTCTAACAAGAAGTCTTGTTCTGACTGACAACTACTTAATAGTGACTTAAGTTTGCACTGCTGAAGCACGGTTCCCAAACTCTTACTCAGCTGTTTGTTTACTTCTGTTTTTTTCTAGGAGCGAATGTTCAGTGCTGAAAATGGAAAGTAGAAAAATCAGAATTTTCCTGAGTGGTCAAGGCTGTATCACCTGAGGTTAAACAGATGTATAAATGTCTTATCTGTAAAAGTCTTATGCTATGTATGGATAGATTTCTGTATTATGCTTTTTTATCAATTTGCAAAGGGACAAATAGAATTTCAAATTTTTGTGGCACTTTTGTCAATACATGCAAATTAACATGAGAGTCTGTTCCTTGTGATGTGTTCATTTCACTTTTTTAACTTTCTGTATTAAATTCCTAATTAAGTCTGCAGTCCTAACACATTAAGAAAATAGGTTTCTCTTTCACACTCTTTTACTAAAGAGAAGTGATAGGTTTCAAAAGCCCTCCAAAACCCACAAGTATTCTTAGGAGAGACACACATACACATATATATATGCACACTAGCCTCCCATCCCTCTTTCTGCAGCTAAGGTGGCAGTAGTAGTGACTTACTGGTTGGTAAACCTCACGAATGTCATCATAATTAGTATTTCAAGGCTTTTTAACAGGGGGAAAAAGCTGTATCGTAAGGAATTTTGTCAAATACTCTTTTTGTTTACTACTTGCCTAAGGAAGGTAACAGCAGGAACGTGGAATACATTGAAGCTGAAAATGCCACTTTGATTACAACACAGGCATGAGCTACAGGTATCCTGGTGTTATTGAGGGCTATGCTTTCAAAATTAAGTAACTAAGTCTCTCAAGCAGTTAAATAACTTGACAACGGGTTAATGGGAGCTGACAGAGTGAACATGTAGATACAACTCAAGATTGGCTGTTAGAGCTTTGCATATTGTCTTTGGAGGAGTTACTGCTTTTCTTTATGCAACAGTCATGGAATTGCTGCCAACCCCACCCACAAATGAGGATTTTATGTCTGGGCTTTCTGTGCTGTGGGGTTGTTTTGTTTTTTTAAAGTTCTATCACCCCCTTCCTTTCCTCATTGTCCTTAAGCTGATGCTTTTGGGAAAGAGGTAGAGCTGTGTGACAGCCTTCCTCAGGAATGACCTAATCCTAATGCAGCACTTACCAATTACAGGGCTTTCCATTAAGTTGGGATGCATGTGATTATATTTCATTAAGACTAATTAAATAAATCTCTTATTAGTTTATATAGGTCCAGTTCCATCAAGAGTAGACATGAGGTTCCTGTTTATATGTAGACACAATTAACTGTTTCCTGATAGTTGCTTGAACTTAACCTCTTAAAAAAAAAAAAAAAGGGCAGCACTGAGGCTACAATACTTATACACACATACTATATCCAGCTTGAATAATACAAGAAGAACAAGCTAAGGGAACAAGGTTACCACCAACATCAGTACTATTATTCGGACATTGCCATAACAACCTGGGAAGTGTAGTTTCAGCCACAGCCAGCTGTATGGCCACAAACCAGATGCAAGTCTGATAACAGAACCCTATCGAGCATCTACAGGGTGTTGCAGCCTCCCAGCCTTGCCCTGGACAGGCCGCACATGGGGCTGGGAGTAGTGCCAGTCTGCCAGAGGGAGATGAAGCCACCTTGGGGCACCGAGCCAGACCCCTCTGGTCTACAGCTGTAGGTAACAGTGAGAAGCAGGCCAGGGTAGAAAGCCAGCTTTCCGGAGAGAGGTGACCACCTCCTCCTTTCAAAGGTCAAGCTAGCATTAAAAGCTTTACCCTGCCCCCAGCTCCCTCCACTGTGCCACACAGCCATCTGACCTAGCACTGCAAGTCAAAGTGCACACTGTGATTTAGATCACTGCTGTCATTGCAAACTGTTAACAGAGTATTTGTATCCTGCTGAGAAGGAAACAACTTCAAGCACAGCAGAGGTGCCAAGTACAAGTCTAGGCTCTCTGCTGTGTCTCAAGCTTTCTCAACATCTGTTTTCTGTTCCACAATATGAGACAAGGAGAGGTCTAGCCTCTTAGCAGACTACACTTTCCAAGCCAGACAAGTTTGGCTCCAACTGTTAACAGTTACAAAAGTATGAAGTCATGACTTTCTCAGGCAAGCAAATGAGGTTTTCAGCCAGTGCAGAATCACACTGCCTGAGACAGCTTTAATAAAGCTGCACAGCACCATTGTGAGACTGACAGCTGTAGAAATGACAGACCAGTGAGGCCCATGGCAAGCCAGAGCAACCAGAGATGACTTCTGAAAGGTAACACAACTCATAAGCAGGCACTTCAACATGTTCTTTAACAATTGCTATTACAATAATCAGAACAGATGAACAAGGTAGGATGGGGATCCTCAGCCAGACAAAAATATTTCCCCACAGCAACAAGCCTACTTGTGAACATTAAACACAATGTCAGTGATGAAGAGCTCAAGTATTTCCCATATTCTGAAGAGGAAGATCTGGGGCTGTAGAAGTGGCAAATACAGACCTGCTGTAGAGAGAGGCCTGTGTGGCTGTTGCTGGTCTCCCTCAAAACCAGATCTTTCTTCCTCACGTTCACTGACAGGTGATAAGCCCTCTACAGGCCCTAACTTAACCTGGATAGTTGGATGATTCTCAGCCTGCCACAGCTTGTCTAGCAACCAAGGCAAGCATGTCCTAATGCCTGGCTTCTTAGCAAAGGAATTAGGAGGTATTTTAGGCTGCTACTGCAATCTGACAGGGTGAAAGGGTTCAGGCATGATTATACAGCAGAGAAGCTGCATGAAGCTGAGCTACCCAAGTTAGCCCTGACCCTGGCTGGTCAGTCTTCATACCAGCTTCACTCTTGATGCAACACAGAAGGATCGCTTGTCTGGACTTTGTGTTTACCAGCCCATTGGCATCAACAGGAATATTTTTATTGATTCCTTCAGCTGAGCCATTCTCCTGAGATCCATACCTATTTGTCATTTTAAAAAAATTAATAATTCCAAAGCAATGCAGTGCTGTTAGATTGCCCTGGAGCACCAACACATATTTTCTGCAGAAGAACAGAGCGCTACATGCCAGTTTCTTGAAATAGCTCAGCTGTGCATCTGCATCTGATGTGCAACCATTTCTCTGCCTCTGTCCTAGGCTTTAGCTGCTACTGACAAAGGCTCAGATCCAGAAGTAGCTGGATTTGACAGTTTTTTAATATAGAAGCTTATTCTCTTGCCAAAACCAACTAATTTCATCTGGACCAAGGCTTGGCTCCTAGGAACACAGCCCAAAGGAATGGTGGTTATCTAGGGACTAATCCTGCTCCAAAAATCCTTTGCAATCCACTCCCTCTCACTTCGCTTGCAGGGCACGTATTCTCCTATTTCACAGGACTTCTGTATTAGGTCTTCTCAGGAAGACCTGCTGAGCCACACCTGGTGAATACAGGCAGGGCTCCACTGAAATCAGCAAAGCAGCATCAGTTTAAACTCCCCAAAACGTCTTTACATGTTGTGTATAACTCTTCAAAAACAGAAGCGTTAGTTGTCACTGAAAAGTCCGTGGGGAAGCCACATGTTTATGAAGACACAGTCCTTTCAAACACAACTAGAAAGTAGACAACAATCAAAAGTATCCAAGGTTACCCTCTTAACTTGCATTCTCCAGAATGACTGCTGCTGTCCTTTCAAGGCTACCTGAAAAATGTTTTCTTCTCCGTTACCTGCATATTTGTTTTTTGCACACACAGCACAGGTCAGCAGGTGTCTGATACCCAGCTCCTCCAGACAACAGCCCTTTATGTAGATAAACATGACCCACACGTCCGGGTGCAGCATCACACTGCAACATTTGGTGTCACCTCTGGTAAACTACTTTTCTTCTTAAAAAAAAAAAAAAAAAATCCAAACTCATTCACCTGAGGGTTGCTTACATCTTCTCCCAAGTCCTACCAGGTGCCTTACAGAGTTTTTAAGTGGGTTTGTATTATTTTTCTGACACTGCTGCCTGCCTGGCACCTCTCCTCTAGCACCATGAAGATTCATGGACATGACCACTAAATAAATCACCTCCAACCCCTGTGAATCTTTAGCCTGCCTTTCGGTAATGACCATTGACAGCTCTGACTCCTCTGCTGACCTGCAACACAGAGTGCAGCTGTCTGGATTCTTTCTCATTTACAATTTAACACCAACACACACCTGGAAAACTGCCAGCCTTCCCTCCCCACTGAGGTTGGGTGAGTTGTGCCAATTGGAGCCCAAAGACCTCTGTGCAAAGGCCAACTCCGAACCCCGAAATAACCTGGAGCAGAGGAAGCAGTTATTTTGGTCCATGGATTGAAGCCATCAACATAAACTCACCTGCCAGACCCCTCCACCCTGCACTTCACTCAGCAGTCAAGTCACTCCCATCACAAAGTGGTCCCCTTGATCTCTGTGGCTACTAAATAGATCAGGGAATGCCTGGAAGGTGCCTGGTCTCTCTCCTGTGGATAATCCTGCTGCCCTAGGGCAGCACATTCCCTTTGTACCTGGGATCCTCTTTCAGCCTGGAGTCCACCTCCCAGGAGAACACAACCCAGCTGGGTCCCTTCTCAATTTAACCTATTTTACATCCTTCCTTCAGAGAAGTCCAACAGAGACTCCTTAGACTTTTCCAAGCATGTGGTATTATGGACTGATTGCTTAGCCAAAGCCCCTGTGTAGGTTGCCAGCACACACCAACAGGCTTCCAAATGCAAATGCCATCGTGTGTATACGTCATTATTTTATATTGTGTCTCACACCCTAGATTTTAGGTCATGATTACTACGACAAAAGCCCTGTCAGTGACAGGGATGAACCGTCGTGGGATGAGCATGCAGGGAAGTCTTCAAAGAGGGTATCCACCTCCTTACTGTCACACAGGTAACTAGTAGGTCAAAGTGACAAATGTGCTGGACTGATCTTTTCCAGGCAAGGGCTGTTCAACAAACTGCTGCCCTTTCACTTTCCCCAAAGCCTCTTTGTCCTGGAACTTTCTCAGTCAGAAAGGAACCAACAATTTTTCTAAAAATATCTCCCAGTCAGCCCTAAAATACTGACAGATCAAAATTGGTCACTTGGGGAATTAGGATCCCAGTAAAAGCTTTCTGCTCTGCAATCATGTGTCCTGAGCCCTGCTGAGCCGGTAACACCTCACAACTCTGAGCAACCAGCCTCACACCACGGCAGGGTGGGAATTCAGGCACACAGAATTTGGGGGTTTGCTGCTGTGAAGCTGGGCAGTCAGAGACACTGAGCCCCTGCAAGAAATACCCCTTCTTCCTCCCAGATGAGGCAAGTGCCCTGCACCCTCATACCACCTGCAGAGCCACAGGATCTGTCACCTCACGTAGCAGGGACACAGCTGGCCAGGGTCAGTAACACCGTGGGGTTCAAACATAAATCTGAAGCATTTCAAAAGTCGCTCAAGAGACAATAAAATACTGCAGCGAAAGGGGAAGAAGGAGGCAGGAAAATGTGCTTCAACAACGTTCAAACCTCACTCTTGTTACCTATAGACACATGGTCCCCTCAAGAGCTGAGGGGCCAGGAGATGGACAAGTTATGCCTAAAACGGTCACTATCAGAGGATCCCTTACCTGCTCTGGAAGCAGCTGGAGTTTCCCACTTTGGCACTGGGGCTTCTCTTCAGCACAAGCTAGATGTGAGGTGGCTGATGCACATGGCTAAATCACAAAGTCCACATCCATTCTGAAATGGAGCAAAAACCCAACAACCACATCAACCTTCAGCCTATACATCTGTTTATGCAGCCACACAAAGCAGCTTTACCCCATAACTCTTTCTCAGTTTCATCTCTCTTCAGGAGAGGAAGAGCGCTCTCCCAGGATCCCACCTGAGCCCAGTTTACAAACCCCTTCTAGTGGCTTCCCAGATCCCCATACCTCCTCAGATTAAGGAATCAGGAATAGATGAGTGTCATCTCCCAGAAAGGTTTTTGGCTATCACAGCCACAAGGATAAGCTCAGACTCAGCAAGCAGGGGCAAATAAAAATGTGTGTGTATGGAAACCCCAAAGAACAAATACACACACTTTATAATTTTGATTTTAAAATGCCCTTGTCCTTTATTAAACACACCAGAGACAGTAATACTTCCCAGCCATGAAGACTAAAGCTTTCCAACCCCCTGGGCCAGAAAGTGTCTACATCAGAGCCCAACTACAAGGCCCTCCCCACAAGATGGGCTGCCCCAGCCCCAGGCCAGGAGAGGAGCCAGCACAGAGACCTGCCATCATCCCCCTTCCTCACAGGGCAAAATTCTGCACTGTGCTTCCTCCAGCTGTAGTCAAAACACCAGCACTTAGGTTAAGGCCCCAGAGCGCTACAAACCTCACATACACGTAAGGATGTCAGTAACATACAGGCGAGCGATAGTGAGAGACCCCCTTGGGCAAGGCCACATTTGCATTCACAGACACCTCCTGCAACTGCAGGGAGAGTGCAAATATACCCCATGAATCTGCTGGCATACCAGGCTGGAAAAGGACATTTGTTCTCTCCTCTGTTCCCAGATTCCAAGAGGAAACAGTGCTGTATCTTCTCTGTACACGTGGGTCTTGCCTATGTGGTGGGATTCCCTAAGTTTCTGTGCAAGTAGTGCCTGGCATCAGAGATCTCAGCACATATCAGAATCCTGGAGTATTCCTGCAAGAGAAAAGCATTCATTAATTACAGCAGACTATAATCAAAGCTCAGCAGATGATCTAAACGGACATTTTGAACTCTCGTTATCATTGTAATTCTCAGGCAGGGAAATAAGTGGCAGAAATATTAAGAAAGCAAGCCTGCAGGAGAAGGCAAACTTTGTTTAACAGACGGTGCAATTTAGCTTGGGAGCACAGAATACAGCTGGCAAGTACATGATTTCTGGTTTGCTCACAGAATTGAAAAAAAAAAAAAACCCACACAAAACATGCAAATCTGAAAAAAAAGTATATTTGAGACATACAAGCAGCAGGGTAAATGGAAGTGAAAAAGCTGAAATACCTTTTATTTGCGGGTCAAATGCAACATTTTCTCACCTGGCTTTTTCTGCAGCCTTTAAAAATACAGATTAGATATATTTTAAAGAGAAAATGTGAAATAACCAATGTCAGTGATTTTGCTTCTTCTTGGTTAAAAGTTTGTCACATTCAGTACAAAGTTGTGGAAAATGAATTCAACATAAAAGTGCAATTTGTAACAAATTAATTAAAAAAAAAGAGAAGATAGATAATCCCAAAAATAGCTCTGGTCTCCCTATGGCCCATTTGATTATTCATTCTTAGGGTACATGGGTAAGAGCTAAGAGCCCCCTTGGAGGGGCTTCTGACACACAGATGTGTAAAAAATATACAGTCCCTGCACTGAAGAGATGCCCCAGTGAAGGCACCCAACACTTCAGCAGTACGTTAGGGCTGTCCCTGGCCAAAAACTGGCCAGGCTTGGGGCCTCCTGCTCTCATCCTGACACCAAACGGGGCTCTGCGACAAGGCTGAGCCCCACGAGCCACTGCCCAGCCCATGGCATGGCTTGAGGCATTGGGGATTAAAATCAAAGCACACGGCTCACAGTTTCAGACTTGCCATGCAGCCTGAACAGACCTATAAATAATATGTAGTATGAGATAATATAGGAAATAGCATATGATAACTGTTAGAATAGGATTAGAACTGATTAGTAGTTTAAGTCTATACAAATAACTATTAATTCATTGGCAGCTCAGATCAACTGAGCTTTACTGTAGCTTATGCGGAAGTAAAAGGATCAGGAAGTTTTGGAGGGACAAGCTAGGTAAAGCAGCCAGTCCAAGGGCAAAAAGCAGGAAGACACTCCGCGCTCTGAGGAGCCATGGAATATGATTTTTACTTTATGATATGATTCTACCCAATTATATGAATTTAACTACTTTTATATGGGAAAATAATGGAACAGAGATTCGGCAGCACAACCATTCCTTTCCTTGAACTAACACATGGAGAGGATTCCCCTGTGGACACCCCAACCCATCCTGAAACTGAGGCACACTGGATAGGTTTTGTCCTCCTAGATAATTTCTCCTTAGATCAACAATAACCATTGTCTGAAAGAACACCACTATTCTCCTTTTTACTTTTGTTTCTCTCTTCATTCTCTGTTTGTTTTAGATAAATTTAATTTCACATAGCTCATTAATTTGCTCTACCTGTGCTGCATTATTGTTTGCTTTCCATATTGCATACTTCTATTGACAAGTAAAATCCTTTTCACCTGTTACGGTGAAAGCCAACTCTTTGAGGCAGGGTGCTCAGGCTCTCATGATTTCCCAGCTGACATCTAAAGGCCAAGCCTGTGCTTCAGCTCTGTCTTCCTCATGGTTCCGGAAGGCTGTGCTCAGACATACGATGGGATATATCCTGCGGAACGAAGAGCTGCGGATTTCCCAAGGCAAACGGTGACTCTGACAGCCAAGCCTTGTATGCAGGAGATCCATCCATACAATGGTTCAGCACAATGGAGCAAGCTCTGTTCCTCTGCAGTTCAACAGGTAAATGTATCCCCAAGGACATTCAGTTGGTATGTCACACAATTTGCATAGAAGCAAAAAGTCACAAAAGTCTGGTTTTATACCCCTCAGGGTTGCACACATGGGGCCTCACAGAGGGTCTCTGCACAGCATCTGTGATCCTCCCCTGGGAAAACAGCAACTGCAGGAGGCCCTGGCAGGCTTCTGGGTTTAATGGTTGTGATTCCGTCAGGATGGGGATTGTTAGAGACTGCGGTGGGCTCTGATGCTCAATTTTGATTTCAGTATAATTGAAGGAAGCTTACAATCTGAACTTCTGGTTTTTGATTTTGTTTTTGCTTTACTGCTGGGATCAAGGTTACAGTCTGAGCTCAGATGTATTTGGATCATGCAAAGTGAGTCTTTGCAAACAGGTCTCTCATTCGTCCTGTAAAATTCACACAATCACAGCACCCTCCAAGCAGTTTTTTTCCAATGAAATGTAGCATTTCTAGGGAGCAGAGGGGACTCGCTCTAGTCACACCACTCTGAGGCAGTCTGACACTCAGACTGGTGTTACACTGCACTGATGGCTGGGGATGTTGTGCCTCAGCCAAGAATTCAGCTTCACCTCCGCAGCACCTGAGCAGCACAAGTTCTGTCTCTTACTCCCAGGGACACACAACTCCAGTTTATATTGGCGTTTGATCTAGGTCAAAAGATCAGAGCACTTCCCCAGGCTCAAACTCACCAACAGTGGCTGCACACCTATTTAGCTTTCATTTGGTTGTTCAAGATCAGAAACAAACAAAAGAATCTGCAATAATTCAGGATTGGCCCTTGTCTTTACACAAAAACAAACTGCAAAGTGGAGAACTTTGGGGAGAAAGATGGTTTAGTAACAGGTGATGCTGAGGAGGGAGAATTTCTGAGGAAAGCATGCAGGGTAGCATTAGCAGATGATGTTTTAGAAGATGACAAACGCTTTGATGATAAGATTTCTAATTACGCTGTCCTCATCCTCCTAAGAAAAGCAGCAGCATGACAGAGCAGACTATGGCCACAGACTGCTGGGAAGCCACAGAAAGAGCTTGTTGCATACAGCAGAGCTTAGTGTGCATCACTTTGTATGTATAAATAAATAAATAAATAAAGTGTTACTGTAGCCCTTGGGGGGTGTCCCAGATTCCGCCCTCTTTCAGCTGCAGCCCACCTGCCCGGCCCAGGTACCCAGGAGGGGCAGGCCCTTCTTCCTCGGGAATTCACAAGAGGAAAGCAACATCTTTGCACTTGGTGTTCAGCGATAGAGTTTGCTGGTGGCTGAGGAAAAGCGCGAAGGTCTGCAATAGAGCAGCACCACCACCTCGTGGGGAGGCTGCAACATCCCACAGCTCCTCTTCCCAAGATTTGGAGCAGGAACTAACCGATGAGCACAAACGCAAATCGATCAACCTCCCCCCGTGGTGGCAGCTCTCCCATTTCAACCCAGCTCTATGCAAACACAAAGCATGGGGCGGGGGGGAAAACCTTTTCCTTCCTCTTTCAGCTCCCTCTTGCATTCCACGACCCGCCCCGCTGAGGGAGACACACTGCTGCTCCCAACAGCTGCTCTCAGTACCGCCTGTGTTCTTGAAACAAAGGTGCCAGAGGAGAGAGAGGTAGAGGAGAGCAGAGGTCCACAAAACCAACATAGTAAGTACATACCTTTATTTTTAGCCTTCCAACATAGAATTTGACTTAAAATTAGTCCTCAGAGATTCATTTATAAGGATTATCAAATACAGCCATTGTAGGCTCTTACAGACTCCATTAAACAAGCCAGACTATCTGACCAGTACCATTTGAAATTTTAAAGCAAGTCAGGATTAAAGAGTAATTTCCATTTATTCTGGTACTTGTTTTGATGCATTGATGCTACATTGATACTACAGCAGTGCCCCAGAGGTCCCGGCAGGATGTCAGGTCCTTTTGTGACACAGTCCTCTGCATCCTAGGGGACAGCATGGAGATCCCAGCCAGGGGAACTGCGGGAACACACCGATCCTCGAGCTGAAATTAAATTCCCTACAGACCTACTAGTCTGAATTTTCCATAAAACTCCTTTTATCTCTTGCTAGTATTAAACATTTTCCTAGAACACTCTAGCCCTGCAGAGGGTACAATACACCAGGTGTAGCCTTCTGGGACAGTAGTACGACAGGTACAGCAGCCAGGTAATTTCTCACAGAGGAGTGGGACTCGGTCCTACCAGGATTACCCCATTTGGCTCACTGCTGCTGTTCAGGGCAAGCACACAAGCAAAGCCCGATTCTCAGTTAACTGTCGCTGCTGGGGCTGCAAGAACCTACAAGGGAGCTCAAAGCTGACAGGAGCCCACACTGAGGAAAGCAGACAATCCTGTACAAAGCCAAAAGAACTTTTCCATCAGCAACAGAACAGACAATTTAAAAAACACTCTGATACTCACAATCAAACAGCAGAGCTTATCACACAGCACCCAAGATGAATAAAGCAGAAGATTCAATTCTTTTATTTTTTTAGATGATTATACTGTGGAAGTTCCAGGAAAAGGATCTTATTTAAACATTTTCATACACTAACAGCGTGCTAGTATGCCTAACAACCATTAGCTGCAGGCAGAGACGAGGACTGAGTTCAAACATCCTGTAAGGAATCCCTTAAAACAAGCAAATGCTTTGTTATGTGTTCTGAAGAGACAACGTTTCGCAGAAAAGCTGAGTCTGCCCAAGTTGTCTCTGACACCTTCTAAGCCACCTCCCCTGACTGCAGCTACAGTATCAAGTTGTAGGGGGGTATGGTAGCAGAGAAGACTCATTATCAAAGCCCAAGCTGCTGGGGATTTGGCCATTTCTCATCATCTTTCATGTCACCTTAATCTTTTGCCCTGTAAACATTACATCAATCAAACTAGAAATAAGATCTTTTCATTACTGTTACAGCCAAGACTTAATTTGAATTAAAATGTAAAAAGTATGAAAATTGAGGTCACGCCCACAGCAGGCCTTGGGGCTCACTCCAACTGCTACATCAGTTTGCAAATGTTCTGAGCCTTCCCTCTTCACAACTGATGTGTAAAACTGCCAGTAAAGGCTCCCATTACCTTAAAGAGGTTCTCTACCTTTCCTTTCTTCCCTGCAGGGACCAACTACACAGCTTTAGTGGCGAGTGTAGTACTGGGATGCACAGTGATACCTGTTGTCTTTCTGGTGAAGAAATCCTTTGTGGGGGTGCAATACAGGAATCACAGAAGCGTTTGGGTTGGAAGGGACCTTGAAGATCAGCTGTGAGTCAACTGCTGTAAAGATTATCCTAGGGATAAATCATCTGATATAGCCCCTTGTCCCTCTGGATTAATCCCACAAATGTTTCTGCTTCACTGCAGAAGCATTCTGATGTTTCTAGCAGATACTTCAATGTCTGCCCGTAAGAACTTCAGAGGAAAATATAGAATATGCTCTCATGCATTAAGCCCAGACAAGATTTAACACTCATGTGTGTGGTTCCTTAAATTAAAAAAATCAGCAGCTGGATGTTACCAGGAACAGACAGATTTCCAAGGAAACAAGCCTGGCTGATAACATCCCTAGGGCCAAAGCACCAAGCCCTTTCAGAGCACAACACTGAAACAATCAGGATTTGTGTGGGTTGAAAATCTCCAGAATTTGAAGCTCTCAATCTGTTTGAGAAGCAGTTTCTGGCTTTGGGACAAAAGGGCCTGTTCATGTGGTTTAAATGCCAGAATCCTCTATAAACAACTGATCACAAAGACAGCAAAACACCAAGCATTTGCAAGCATTGCCAAATGCTCGTCCTCCCTCCAATGCTCAAATTGTTACACTTGAGCCAGGTAGAGGGACAAACCACCACACTGCAGAACACCTGCTAAATGACTATGTCAAGAGCTGTCATGTTTTGAGGTCTCCTGATACTGCCTCTGGCAGATTTCTCACCAGTTTAAGTTGGTGATTTCTAGCCCAGATCATTAGAGGGATCATAAACATGTGTCTTTACATTTAAATTAACTTTAAACTAAGGATTAGCACTCATGGTGGTGAAGCAGACAACACAAACTCTACCACAAGCTAAGACACTGATAAAAGTCAACAGGCACAAGGCAATAAGAAGCAACATTTCTCATCTGTGCTAATGCCCCCACCCCAAACCCAGCTGCTATTTGTCACTGCTTGTTATGCATAATTAGGCAAGAAAAGTATTTAGAAAAGCCAGCCACTGAGCAGTCTGAGCATGCTGTATTCTTACAGCCAGGGAAAATACATGCTGGTTTAAAGCATGACATTCTAAGTTAAGTGCTGGAAAATAAACTCAGGATAAATATCATGCCAAGTGTATGATACTTCACTGGTCTCTTCCCAGTTTGACCAGGAAGGAAGCCCAGCACAAGGTACAAAAGACAAACTGAGACATTCAGATTCTTCACACAGGAAGTTTAAAATATCAGACTTACCCAAAAATCATTACTCCTCCTGTAATGTCACTTCATTTTAGTTGATGTGTCTTTTAAGCAAAAGATTATAAAAAAAATCTCAAAGGTTACATTTGTAGATCAACATTAGCAAGGAACTAAAGCAAGCAAGTATGCTACAACACCTAAAGATACAGTGTTGCCTTTGAAGCCTGTACTTCAACCCTGCTGCTTTTAACTAGTTTCAAAATAAAGTTAGAAATAGCCTGATGAACTGTTGAAAATTTGTTTGGGTCAAGGGGCTTACTGCTGCATTGAAAGCTTTCCCTGAAGGAAGAATTAAATGACACTTACCATGAAGGTCATCAGCTCCCTATATATATTTTTCTTGAAGAAGCAGACTCAAGGCAACTAATTCTCTATGCATATGGCAAAGTCAGACTATAATGAGCAAAAGTTATGGATGCTGCCTTCATGTTTTAATCCACTGACATAAACAGAAAACTTTCCTGAATGTATCTGGCATGATGTTACACAGCTTCACATATTTTCTCCTTCAGTTTGATCTTCCCTTCCCAGTTTGAGAATGATTTTTTTCCAATCCTTGGGTAAAACTGGTCATACTGTATGAAAACTTCCAAGAACTATAATCACTAATTGCTTACAATTTGCCAGTGTAATTTCCAAAGATGGCACAATGCTAGTCTACCATCCACATGAGAGAGGTTGTTTTACCAAAGTCATTTTGCTTTGTCGCTGGAAGTTGGGTCACATCCACACAGCCCACATCCTTCTCTCCCCATCAGAAAGCTGCAGGCACACACACATCACCTCTCCTGACACTTTCTGCAGGATCACGCAATTCTCCCTCTATTTTGCAAGAACATCTTCAACACTGGGGACAGTTTAGATTATTGAGGAGATAAAAATGGACAAGAGATGTGAAAGAACAAAGATACACACAGTAACTCCTCTTCACCTGCTCCCATATGGGAAGAAGGAAGTGTTACAAAAATCTAGAGGCAGTGTATTTTGTCCATTAGTGTACTTCCTGAAACAGGCACAAAGCAGTTCCAACAGGGCCTGACTGCCACAGAATAAGGAAAACAGTGCAACAGAGAATTGATCAAAGCCTGTAGTGGCCTGAATACTGTTTGTTCACCTGGCAGCTCATCAATGAGCCCGGAGAGAACTTCACAATTAAGGAATGAACACAGGACACAGGGTAGACAGCAATATTCTATTTTTGCAGGCAGGCAACGAAAGGTCTAGTGATTTTTGACAGAATCACATGGACACACAGCCTCAAAGGCAATACAGATCTCTCAGGCTCCCACTTCAGAAACAAGATTCACTTTGCAGCTGCAGTCAGGGGTTCGATCAGGTGTGGCAAAGCTCCCTCACCTCAGAAGCCACATCAGTTGCACCCACCTCCTCCAGGACCCCTGGAGACCCTAACTCAGCCCTGCTAAGTTCCCTGCTCAGGCAATCAGTGGAGTCCAGGGCATGAAGCCTGAAGCTTTTGGTGGCAGAGCACATCTCCTTGCTGTAGGTGCACAATGTTCAACACGAACCCAATTCCAAATACTACTGCAATACAAATACACAATCTTTCCACATCATTTCAGTGGACAGCTCATTACAAAATCCAGATGGAAAGTATGCCCTGATGGTGACAGAGGTCAACAAATCTGTAAGAAAACTTGTCAGGAATGAAGATTTAAGCTATCAAAGCTATTTGGCAGTTTAATTTCTACCAAAGCCCAATTTCAATTTCAAATTCTGTTTTTAATTTTTATCAAAGCAAAAAATCTGTAAGCTGGGGTCCAGAATATAACAGTAAAAGATCCAAAAAATCCCATAGCTGTTCATCTTTTAAAAATCACACCAAATTCTTAAGACAGAAATGAAATTGAATTTCTACAGAAAGAACCTAAAATTAACCTGCTTGACAACTGGTTATAAACCAATACATCATATTGTCCTGTTAAGAAAAAAAATGCAACCACAAAGATCTCTTCCCTCACAGAGCACTGCAGAAGTATTGCCTGCGGTTCTGAGACTGAAGGAAAAATGTTAATTTGTCTACTTTCCCACAGATTTAGTATGTTTGAGCCTGCAACAGTGAAAAATATTCTTGGTCTGATTATTCCTTTCCATGCTCAACCTCAAGCCGCATCTGCTGCTCAGAAGGAAATAGAAGGACAGATTTCATCTTACAGCTAGATCCTCAGAAGCTGTGATCCATGTTAGCTGCCTCTGTTTCCTCTTCTTTTGTCTGTAAGATTCCAGCAAGACCACTGCAATGTACTTGCCAGAGAAAAATATTTCAAACATTTCAAAGAGAACAAAAATCAGAACATAAACACCACAAAGCAGAACAAATAACCAGTCAGAAGACAATTTAAAAACAGCTGAGCAAACTTTTTAAACAGAAGTCCAATAATGTGAACAGGCAAGGAAGAAAACAAGGGCACATTATGCTAACAGGATCACCACAGTGAGCTGCCTTCAAACAACTGATTCTGCTTTATTCAGAGTTCAGCCAAGCATTTTCCACCCTATTTCAAGTATATCCAAGTGCTCCAGACACATTCAGATTTCAGGCAGTAACCTTGCGACCTACCAAAAGGAAGGTGAGAACGCATCTGAAATTGCATTTCCATGAAGCTCTAGGTGTAGATTTTGATATCTGAAGCACAAACACCAGATGGTTCAGAGTTCCAAGTGCTCTTTGAGGCAGTTACTAATGATCCGGATAACGTCAGCCTAGAGTAGGGTCTTCAGCTTCAGTGATTTGTATTTGTAGCACCAACTTCTTTTATTTTAACAAGACACAGTTCCCACATCTGTAAAGTAAGGGTCTAGAGAGAAGCAGTGAAAAAGGATGGAGCAACAAAAATGAAAGGTGGTTTCATAATTGCTTCTGAAGTGTGATGCACTTTGAAGTTTTCTCGTTCACAACCTTCATCCATTCTATATATGCAAAACCTCACATTGCCACTTCACTGCCACAGTTGCATCATAATCCAGGCCAGAAATTTAAAGGTATGTTTTATCCAGTTAACAGACAAGAAAATCCTTAGCATGCTGGCTCTTCGTCCATCCTATCTGCAGAGACCTGCTCCTTCATTTCCTGCTGAAACACATCCAAACATGACACTACCTGTTAGTCCACAGCCAGGAAAGGACTTTTAACACATTCACCTGAACAAAAGAAGATTTTGGTGATTATTTATGTGTTCTATCTGACAAGATGAAAGACAGTCAAACAGCCAGGCCATTACTGAAGAAATTAAATCCATTCATTCCCAGAATCCTAAACTATAGCTGACTAAATGCTAGCTTGCCAAAGCACAAAGAACAACCACGTGAAATGTTTCTCTTAACAGAAAGATTTAGTGAAGCCTATTCTACATTTTACTTTACCAATCCTGATAGATAGCTGTGCATTTCCCAAGCCATTTTACCTTATTGTTTTTTTTAATAATCACAAATGTCTTTTACCAAAAGACATGAATGATCAAACAATGACAATGCACTTCAGTTAACCAAGGGAAAAAAGTTCTTTTGAGGGACAATATCCCCAAAACTACAAGAGCTCACCACTGTCTGTTCCTAGCTCTTACCTCTCACACTGCCTCACCTGACATTGCAAAGAATAAGAAGATTCTGGACCGCAGGAAGAGTGGAATTCTCATTCTGTCCTGTCACCAGGTGCCTGTCCAGCACGACATGTACAGCATCTGGACTGCTGGCTAATGACAGGAGAAAAAGCAACAAGCATTGTGTTAATGAACACTATTTCGATGTCAATATCACATCTCTGATAGAACTAACACAAACGATAACTATTTTGACCAGGTAATTTGCTGGGTGACTGACATGCTGATCTATAATCCCAACGGACAGGGACAATCTCAAACCCCTAATCCTGAAACAATTTCACTAGAAAGTCCTTCTCAGAAAGGACAGCAGGACCTTGACTCAATTAACATCAGATAAGTAAAGTGCATATATCAAGAGATTTTCATAATAAAAACCTGAAAGTATATGAAGTTGTAATTACCCTGCAATACAATATAAACTCTTTTTATGCAAGACACCAAAGTTCTAATCACCCTGCTACAGTGAGCCTGCAGGAAGATACTTATTTTCTGGCCAATTATAATACCCCAACATATTAATATCCACCAGCAATTCTTCAGATTGTTTTGTCAGTAATGTACTACTCTTTTCTTCTCCCTCTCCCAACCACCGACTGTCTAAACACAGGCTAAGTGCCTTCAACCCTCACATGCTTCTCCTCTTCTTAATTTGTCAGCACCACTGCAACCAAGCGCACGTGACAACAGATACCACTGAGACAGCAGCTTCTAAACTGTCAGTACTGAACACATTATGCAGAAGGTGGCAGCAGCAGCTCATTCAAAAAGCATAAAGATGCCATTTAAACACAAACAGGCTGACAGTAGCACAGAGGGAAGAGGATTAAACAAAGAATATATAGCAATTTGGTAAGATAGTGGCATTTCTTCTTAGGAAACCCATGCCAGACGCTGAGTCTCTAATCCAGCCACCTCACACTGTATCAATTCAATGGGTGGCACTGTTCTGTTAAATAAAGGATATGACTTCAATACACCAGGGACAAGCTCTAAAAAATTACCTAACAAAATAGGAGACTGAAGGACAGCTGCAACTGAAGAATAGGGCCATTTACAGCTCATTAATTTTCTCTGTCATTCTTCACTATTGCAAGACTGCAGCATGTAATGGAAAACAACACTTTTCTCCGCACATCCAGAAATAATCTAGGAAAAAAGGGACCCTGCTGTGCTTTAATGGATTTAATTTCTCTCACAGGACAGAACTTTGAACTACAAAATCCAAATTCCTCTATTTTGACTAATAATAATTAATGGGATGACGAGTAACACAACAAGAAGATGCTACAAAAACAGATCTAGCTAGGAGTAAAATACTTGATGGTAAAAGCCAACTAATCAGAGCAACCAAAAACATTCAGTATAGTGCCTCCAGCTTTAAATAATGAAGCATTTGCAGACATTCCCCTGCAGGCACAGACTGGGGGTCTGCAGATGGAGGACAACTCTCCAGTACACATCCTTCCCTGCACCACATGTTCTTACTTCACAGCAGGACAAGCCACCTCATCTTTACCACGGGGTAAAAGAATATGGACAACCACGGACATCAGTGAGCTGTACTGTACTGCCCCGCTCCTCCACACACAACATTTTGTGGCATTTGTTCTTAAAATATGCATTTTAAGAATATTCATTAAGGGTATTTGTTTATATCAAATAAATGGGAATGCAAGATGGGCTATCCTGTCAGATGCCTGTTCAGCTGTGTAAAATTGGCACACAAACATTCATTTCCAAAATGCGAAGTCCTGGACAGCAAGAGAGTGACGTACCGCTAAACGTAGCTCCAGAATCTTTCACAAAATCTTCCACGATAATGGACAAACTCGCAAAATTGGGCTGCCTTACTAGTTCGTACACAGAGGGCTGAAAGAGATCACAAGGAAGTCTGTCCTGCTTTTTATAAAAAAAGCCAAGAAAAACCAACACATACTTCCCCCTGCAATTTATTTTTCTGTTCCCACTATGATTCTCCCAACCATACACAGGAAATGAAACAGAAATGAAGCATAAAATCAAATGACCTTCTATGGATTTTCTGTAGGGAATAAACTGAAAATTCTGAAGTGAGACAAAAAGAATGACACAGGCAATTTCTACACAACAACTGGACCTGAACAATGTGTCCAATTAGCTCATGAAAGCGTGATCTGTTTGGCCGCTGGACACAAATGGTGTGCCACTTGCAGAACCCAAGTAACAGTGCTCTGCTTTGGAATGAATATGGGAAACAGCCTAAATGAAAAGAGAAAAATTAAGACTACTTAGTTCAGTTTCTATATGCGCAGGAGGAAATTGAATTTTATGGTTTCCATAGCAACTATAGCTAGGCCACATCATGCCTTATTTAAAATATTTTATCATGGATTGTAATGCCAAATACAAGCACATCAAGAAACTGACAGCTTTTGTGAGTCCCATAAACTTAATTTCTTAACTTTGCATGTAAATTTTCAATCCTAGAAGCTGTACTATAGAGGTTTGCATCACCTTGGCACATAGGTACAACTGCTTTATAAATGGTCTGCGAGGTCAGAGATATGACTGTACATTAAACAAAACATCAACAGTATCTGGCTACTTTTTGAATGATAAGCCAGTTTATACAAACAGCATTTTTTCCTAAAACTTCCTCTACCTTTTAAAATGAAAGAGTACCTTGAGAAATGTAACTTACCTCCAGCATTCATGAAATCAGAAAAAGTAATTCTTAAAAGCCTTCAACTATGAACCTGAAGAGCTGCAGCAGTAATTTCCAGCATTTTGTTGATTTTGTCTAACATTTACTGAACAATCACAAGGAAAACACTCCATATGACAGCTAAATGAGACAATCCCTTCATGCACTCGGTGTGGACCACCTTTCCAACAACTTGCACATAAATCAAGGGTACCAGACCAATGATTTGTATTTGTAGGAAATTGTAGGATAAGACCAGAAACACCAGCAACATCACCTGAAATCACAGGCCCCTGCACAGCAAAAAGTCCCCAAACAGCACAAGTCAGGTGAAAGCTCAACCTACCCCTGTCAGGCTGTATCCCTGAAATACCCACGATTTATCCTCATTAGTGGCACAACACAAAGCTGCAACTCCATGTCCAACCGCACAGATAGGCTCTGGAGAAAAAACAAAGCATCTTTGAGCAGTTGTGAGCATCTCCAAATAGCCAAAACACATATGAATGATAGTGAGATTCTTCACGTTACAGCATGTTGCCTTCCTGCAATAAAATTATAGTATATATATAGTATATATTACTAGCTGTTAACTCCAAGTCTAGAGACAGCACCAAAGACAAAAACACAGACTCATATGGTAAACAAGAAGCACACACAAGTCTTGATTAACTACAGCCTTAATGATGAACCTGGTACATCCCACATTTGGCTCTGAGCCTTGAATCCTACTGACTTGGGAGAGTCTGTATCACTGTAAGGCAGAGAACCATCCTCTGACACAATCATGGAAAAACTACTGCGTTTTTTATATACATTTACATAAAGGGGATACTTTTAAAGAGAAGATACATTTCTCTAAAGCAAACCTTTCCAGTTCTGAATGCTCTTCAACTACGTAAACATTTTTAAGTAACTGGAAGGTAACAGTCTTACACAAACCATACAGTAGTACTATTTTATTTAACAAAACATGTAATGATGTTCACCTACTGTTCTCAGTGCTGAAGTGCTGCAGTATCTTAGCCAGGTACCCACTGTTTGCTAGGTCAGTCATAGCCCCTGGACAGTTTGGAATCAGCAATGCATGGTATCTAGCACCTAGTAAGGAGAAAGAATAAACTATCTGCAATACAAGTGACAAAAAAAAAGAGCCTGAACTTAAATCCACTTCAGATTTGACAAAATTAAGATAATACTACAAGTAATATGTATAAGCTGAATGAGCTAAAGAAACAGATCTATGTGGAGAAAAAGGTCCTTTTTAGGACAAAGAATATGCATTTTTAATGAGACATTCTTACCTGGCAAAGCTTAAAACCAGTCTGCTAGCTTCTACTTTAGCAAAATATTTAAGAACAATATATAGCCTGTATATATATATAAACACACAGGAGGGAGAATATATATATTTTGTGTGTATATATGTAATAAGAAAGAATTACCAATCCAACATAAATAAGAAAATAACAACTGTAGTTACCAGGACTTGCTCTTAAAAAAATAGCAACTGCAGTTGCCATGGCTTCCTCTTAAAACACAAGTTTTACACCTTTTCTGTGTTGTTCTTCCCTAAAGACCTAACACTAAGAAGCATCTGTTTCTGTGATAAGTGGAGCTGACACGCTGGCCAACAGCAAAGCCCCTCACCATCAATCGACTCCAACTTGGCAGGGTTTGCGTAGGATTTCATACGGAAGTCCTGTATCCAGCGCATGTTGCTCTCGTTCACATCCACAAAATCAATGGACTTCCCCTAAGGGAAACACGGTTCAAAGACTGTGGTTAGGATCACTGCACAGACACCCACTACAGTTCTTTAAGCATAACCATGTGGGACTTTGAGATACCTCAGCTCTCAAAAAACTGAAGTTTTCCATTTTTCCTACTGAAGTACTTCTAATATTTCTTCCTTTGCTCTTTGTGGGTAACAGATACTGGACAAAGAAGTTCAGAACCATACTATAGGAAGCATGCATTCACTTCAATATTAAGAAAACAAAACAAGAAAAAAATCCCTTAATCTGTAAAGCCAATAGAACAACTCTCAAAAAAAAAGTTTCATATAATTGCCTCTTATCGAATCCATTAGTTTCAGACTGAAATCACGGTAACTGCCCATTTTTACTTACCCCAGGAGTTGCAACTTGCAGGTTAAAAGCAGAACTAGTCAGTGTAAAGCAGTGAAGGAAGGACTGGGCTGACACACCTGAAAAAGTGTCCCAACAATTTAAAGTTTTATTTTAATCCCAGCCACAGCAGCTCATTTTATCTAGCAAAGAACACGAGGTTGGGTTTTTTGCTCATCTTAAAAGCTTTCACTATTTTCAGAGGGTTATTTTAAGACGCAGCAAATACACAGCCTTCCTTATAGGTGAGCTCTTGAGAAACAGAGGATGCAGGTATTCTCTCTGTTCGGGTTGGGGGGTTACAGGGAGGACAGAAGCGAAGGGAATTTGGCTTAACCCATGCCAAGAACAGCCCAGCTGCCCGTGGGCTCTGACCCAGGTTCGTGCTGAGGGGAAACGGCGGGTATTCACGCTGGGCACGGAGGAAGCAGGCCTGTGGGAAGCGAGCCCAGCTGTGCACAGGCCGGCTGCACAAGCAGGAGCAGCGTGGGTGCCTCCCCCTGCAGAGCAGGGAGCATACGCGCGTGTCTGCGCCGCTCAGCGACTCGCACACACGCGAGCCGTGGCGCAGACACGCGTGACTGGACAGTGCCTGCAGACTGGGGACGCCCATGCCCGGCGCGGCCCAGAACACAAGTGCGGCACAAGCACTGCACAGTCACACCTGCAAAGCGCGGGACACACCACTCGTGAGCGTGAAAACGGCCCCACACGCAGGGCACCGGTCACGCCGCGCCGGCGGGAGGGGGGGGTGCGGCGGCACAGGGCGGAGGAGCGCGCACGGAGGGACGCGCTGAAGGGAGAAGCTATGCCATCAGGCATCTGTCCATCAGTCTCCTTTTCCCTCCAAAAGTGTGTTCTGAAACCGTAGGCTGGTTAACCATGGAGATACCTGGATGTTCCTCTCCCTTTGCTCCAGCTTAGCTACCAGAATATGATTCTTTTTCTAAAAAACAAACCCAAAGCCTATCTTTCCCTGTTCTGTTTAGCTACTGTGTGGGGGACTTAGTGCCACTC